TCCCCGAGACAGGGTTTCTCTGTGGCTTTGGAGGCTGTCCTGGTACTAGCTCTTGTAGACCAGGCTGGCCTCGAACTCACAGAGATCCGCCTGCCTCTGCCTCCCGAGTGCTGGGATTAAAGGCGTGCACCACCAACGCCCGGCAAGACATCTATTCTTTTAAATTTTTTACTTGGTGTGTGTATGTATGTGTTAGTACAGGTGTGTATGTGTGTGGTAGTATAAAACCACGTCATAGCATGCACAGAGGAGTCAGAGGACAAATCCCCAGCCCCAGAAATCTTCCTTTGTGTTGAAGCCGATTAAACCAACTCTTAGTTTATTGTAACAAAATAAATCCAGATGTTCCTGTTTCAGAATTGTTCTTGCCTGTTTAAGAGCAACCTCCACCTAGCTGAATACAATGGTCTCTGTACTTTTTCTTTTCTTTTTTTTTTCTGTTTGTTTTTTGAGACATGGTTTCCCTGTATTGTTTTGGGGCCTGTCCTGGAACTCCCTTGGTAGACCAGGCTGGCCTTGAACTCACAGAGATCTGCCTGCCTCTGCCTCCCAAGTGCTGGAATTAAAGGTGTGTGCCACCAACACCCAGCACAATGGTCTCTTTTCAATGTCTTCCCTGCTCATCAGCACTTAACAAATACACATTTTACTCCTTCAGCTTCTTAGGTTGACTTTCTTGATTTAATACTCCATGGGGTTTCTTTCTTCTTTGTGTTCTCTCTTACCAATATCCTTCACTAAATCCTTTAGCAAATCCTGAAATGCTGGAGTTCTCCCGGGACGGGTTATAACACACTCTGCTTCTTACTTGACATCCCTAGGCAATGCCTTCTGTTTCCTTGTCTTTAAATCCCTTTACATAGCAATGACTCCTAGATTTATAGCATCCAACTTCATTTCTAAGCTGTGACTGCCATAGTAATGTCTTTACTTAGGTGTCTCCCACAAAACAGCAAGCCTAACTCATTATATTGGCATGTCAGCTTTACACAGCCATGGACTATGACTGTCTTGTTCCCCGCTCTATCTCCCATCTCTGGCATCTCTCCTGATACAAAGCAAGCCACCCATGAAATTCATGAATGAATAAATGAAGTATAGGTCAATAATGTGTTAGTAATACACGGATAATAAATAAGAGTAAATAAATATGTTCTTTAGTTGTAAATAACATTGTCCTAATATAAATTTAGTAGAAGACAATTGATTTGTCTCAACAGAGCATGAGGTTGGAGATATGGTTGGACTTCAAGACCATGCAGTTTTTTGATTTTGGATGCTGTCAAATTGTCCTCTCATTCATTCACCATGAGCAACCACTTTATCTTTCTCTCTAGCCTCTTCTTTATTATTACTGTTCCTCAGGTCAACTGCAGATGCTAGATCTTGGGCTGTAAGCTTCTTCTTAAAGCTTCAGATGGGCTGGAGAGCCACATAGTTGATCTATTGTAACTGGTCTTAGCTTCACTGTTGTAGCATAAAAGCAGACAGCAGACACAGGCAATGTAAACAGCCCTGGGAGAGGTCCCATGAAATTTTATTTACAAAACAGGTGGGGGTTGCTAATCTCTGTTCTTAGCCACCTGCAGATATAAGATCCACATGTCAGTTCCAGAATTTGTCAGTGTGCTGTCTCCAGGTCTCAGATCATTATCTTACCCTTGATGAGTGAAACCAAGATCAAGTAGGTAAGGTCATGTTGCCCTGTGGCTACTTTCGTAACACTCATCTATATTGTAGGAGGCTTAAAAGTAAAGGGCAACCCTTAGCCGGGTGTTGGTGGCACATGCCTTTAATCCCAGCAGGCAGAGGCAGGTGGATCTCTGTGAGTTCGGCCAGCCTGGTCTACAGAGCGAGTTCCAGGACAGTCAGGGCTGTTATGCAGAGAAATTGTGTCTTAAAACAAACAAACAAACAAAAAAACAAAAACAAAAAAATAGAGGGCAATCCTGAAGAAAAAAACATGTGGTAAAGATTCAGTATCTAAAGTTCTTTCCTTAATCTTTCACAAATCTTTTCTGTCCAAAAAAATTCCAGAATAGGCAACCAGACTGACCTCAAACTCACAGAATCTTCCTGTCTCTGCCTCTTGAGTACTGGGATTAAAGCATGGACCACCACCACCTGGCTAGGAAGCAGAGGGTTTTTTGTTTTTTGGGGGGAGGGGCTGTTCGAAACAGGGTTTCTCTGTGGCTTTGGAGGCCATCCTGGAACTAGTCTTGTAGACCAGGCTGGCCTCAAACTCACAGAGATCCGCCTGCCTCTGCCTCCTGAGTGCTGGGATTAAAGATGTGCGCCACCACCGTCTGGCCAGAAACAGAGTTCTTAAGAAGGAATTTTTCTTAGACTTGGGTGACAATTCTCAGAACTCAAGTGAAATGGAGGGTCAGCGTGTGGCAGAAGACTGAAGACAGAAGAGTCCAAGAGGTGACCTGGCTAAAAGGGATTTTCCAGAACATGAGAACCAAATGACTCTGGGCATTCATAGGAGAAGAGCTTCAGATGGCAGCCACACCCAAGTCCCAAATTCAGTCCTTGCATTCACGGGAATCCATTTTCCTCACCCATTGCCTTCGAGGAGTAAATAGTCACAAAGGGGTTATTGCTGGGTGTGGCAACACATGCTTTTGATCCCAGCACTCCTGAGGCAGAGGCAGGAGGATCTTTGTGAGTTTGAGGTCAGCCTGGTCTACCAGGCTATATAGAGAAACCCTGTACACCAGCCCCCCCAAAAGAGGGATGAATGTATTTGCTTATTTGTTGAAGATAGCATAGACAATAGGGGCTTTCAATCTGCACACAGCAGAATTGTGTGATGTGTATTCCATCACTGGAGTCAGAGCGACGCCAAGTGTTGGTGAGTGAGGAGACTGGAGGCTGCCAGGACTCTACAGAGGAGAAATCATGAGTGAACAGGAGCAGATACTTTCTGCTGCTTTGGAGAGACAGAAAAGCAAAGCTCCTATAGGAAGCTTTTCTGTTTTGTTTTTGTTTGTTTTCTGTTTGTTCTTGTGATAAGTAGAACAATTCTGTATTGGGAGCTCCTCCAAGGAATTTTCTATAAAACTTTGTGTTTATTGAGGGAGGCTGTGGGCAAGTGCAGAACCTAGCCTAACTTGAGAGCAAGAAGACCCCATTCCTTGGAGACACAAACTCAAACTGAGTAGAAGATCCTGGGTTTGTGAAGTAAGACAAATGTGGGGAACGTGGGGTGAGAAGCCTGCCCCCACCCCAGTCTGGCCCTGGGCTGAGGCAGAGAATATCTTGAGCTGTTTCTAGTTTTCTCACCTAAGTCCAGGTGAAGCATGCTTCTTTCAAGCCAATTTAAGGTAGTTTCTTGGTGTGTAGCCCAAGTTAGCCAAAACATGTAATCCTCTTGCTTCTGCCTCCTAAGTGTTGGGATTATAGATATGTGCCACCACAAAGAGACATTTCTTTTTCTTCCCTTCCCTTCCCTTCCCTTCTCCAATGAGCCACCACATCGAGACATTCCTTTTTCTACCTTACCTTGCCTTCTCTCTTCTCACCTTTCCTCTCCTCTCCTCCTCTCACTGCTCCTCCACTCTACTATCTTTCGTTCACTTTTGAGACAGGGCCTCACTATGCTCCCAGGCTGCCTTTGAACTTCTGGGCTTAAGCCATACTCCCCCAGTGTCTCGTTTCCAGTAGCTGGGACTACAGTGTAGGTCACTAAGCCCAGGTACATTTTCTTTTCTATACCCATAGTAGATACCTCCCTTTGTCTGGGGACAGGAGTTTTTAGTGTAAACTAGATCTTTGAGAGGACGATTATACAGGAAAGAACTGGCCAAGAACTGATCAAACCTGGGGATAAAAGATGGGCATAATTTCTATGGAGCTGTTGCCAGGCAACATGCTGGCTGCTGACCAGAGCCACATTTCCAGGATGCCAGCATGCCCTTGGTGCAGATGATGTGGTGTCTTTGTAGATGAGGCCAGGGAGTTCCTGAATTTCCCCACACTGTAATAAAAAAATTTAATTGCTTGTGTGTCCTAGTTGCTGCTTCTGAGCAAAATAGAGAAAAGCCCTAGGCCCTATTTGGGAAGGCAGAGAGGGATGGTTTTCAGGGAGGTACACGAACTCTGCCCTCACCTTTTAGCTCCAAGTTTGGCAATAGCAAGGAAAAACCATGGATTCTTGTACTACATTCTCAGAGTTCAGAAACATAACCTTCCCCTTAGTGCCCCAGTCTTGTCATCTGTCCTCAATAGCTTTGTCTTTTAGCCTGACATAGCCTACAGTAATCTGAGAGAATCTCAATTGAGGGATTATCCAGACTTGTGGCTATATCTATGAGAGGCTATCTTGATTGATGATTACTGTGGGAGGGCACAGGATCTAGATGCTGTGTCATCCCCAGGCAGGTGGGCTATCTAAGAAAGGTTGCTTAGCACAGGTCAGGGGACAAGCCAGAGACCCAGCCAGTAATCCTTGCTCCTCTGTAGCTTCTGTTTTAGTTACTGCTCCGACTTCAACCTCTTTCCTTCCCAAGTGGCCTTTGGTCAGATTGTTTTATCACAGCAACAGAATGAAAACCTAGGGAACTATAGGTTCCGAGATCCTACAAAACATTTTTTAAAAGTTCTCTATATTGTCACTGTGGATTATGGACCTAGACAATATCCCCATGGGCCTCCTCTAATAACGTAATTGCTGTCTAAAGTGAACAGAATATAGTGAACAGGGCCCTAATGGCCAATTTATGTTTAGGCAACATGGCATTGATATAGATATCTGGCAAGGGCCAAGATGGCTAACACTGGACATGGGGAACTATGGGTCTGAAATAAAAGGCTGACACCAAAGTAAACAGTAACATAATCTGCAATATAACTGTTTGTGGGATAATGCCATTTTTGTGTGAATCTGTGTAAAAATGACCTCAGCCAGGTGTGGTGGCACATGCCTTTAATCCCGGTGCTTGGTAAGCAGAGACAGGTGAATCTTTGAAGTTCGAGGCTTGCCTGGTCTACAGAGTGATTTCCAGGACACCTAGGATTGTTACACAGAGAAACTCTATCTGGAAACAGCAAAACAAAAAAGAAGAAAAAAAGATGACCTTGAGATGGGAGGCCTTTGCCTTCATAGTCTTCTTTGTCTATCTGCAGGCCTGTCTGTTGGACTACATGTTGATATGTGCCTATATGCTAGACTACATGTTGATATGTGCCTGTGTGCTAGACTACATGTTGATTTGTGCCTGTGTGTTAGACTACATGTTAATGTGTGCCCATGTGCTAGCCTACATGTTGATGTGTGCCCATGTGCTAGCCTACATGTTGATGTGTGCCCATGTGCTAGCCTACATGTTGATATGTGCCTGGGTGTTTGTTAGTGTCTGTCTGCTTCACAGCCTGTGTGCTGCTGAATAAAGTATGTCTTATCCACCTATGGTTCCTCATGTTCTCTTCAATATCTCAGCCTCCTATGTCCCGACTCTTTTCCTGGTATTTGAGCTTAGACCTCGACCGTCTCAGCCCTGGACATGAATCCTCAAAATCTGAGCTGGGGGTGCTGAATTGTAAACTCCTCAGCAAGGAGCTCTACTCATCCCCAGTACAGACTAGGAGTTTATGAACGTCAAGTCCCCTTCCTCTTTTCTTCCTCCCTCCCTTCCTTTCTTTCTTCCTTCTTTCAGCTTTCTCTCATTCTCCTCTGTCTTCTTCCTCCACTCCCCTCCTCTATCTCTTTCTCCACCCCTTCCTTTCTTGCTTCTTTGCCTGACACCACACCAATAAATGGGTGTGAATAAAAACAGATGTTGGGCCTGAATGTGCCATCTTGAACCTGCAATTAGGATGTATCCTCTAAGGTGTGGTAAAGAACTAATTGGTTGATGTGTGTAGAATGCCAGGACATTCTTGAATAAATCCCTATATGAGTTCAAAGTATTTGTAATTATTATTATTATTACTGTAATTTATGAGATTTAGCTGTAAATCTCATAATAAGGTGAGGTCAACACTTTTAAAAAGAGGAAGCAAGATGAGACCCTATATAAAGTGCCGTGTCCTCACTGATTCCAAGAAGAAGAGCTGACTGAAGACAGGTGAGTGTGAAACAGACACTGGACTTGTTCCAACCTTATTTAGAATGAAAACTCCAGGATATGGTAATCAATTGATAATGTTTGTGTCTCTGCTTCTGACTAAATAAGATTGAATCATATGAAATATTAAGTACCTTGCAAGAAAAACCCAAGTTTTAGAAATGTGAGACGATAGAATAATTCTTCCCTACTCATTGCAGCAATTGTTATACAAATTTATATTTCTTTTGATGCATGTGCAGGGCTTCTTCTGAATATGTGCGCATGCATAAGGCCAGGAATAGGAGGACAGAAATGTATGTTCATTGAACACTAACAGTGACCGTGGGGCCATATAGAAAGATGGGAAATTATGGGTCATTGATAGGGAAGGAGCCCCTCACTCCGGGGCCAGCAGAGAAGTAAGAACTCTAGCACCAAATCAACTTTGCTTCCTTACCAGCTCTAAAACCATGATTTTCTAGAAATCTCACCAGCAACCCGTTTACAGGGAAAGATGTCCTGATGCCTTGGGTACTCTTAGTGGCCCCTGGCTTCACCTCATCAAATTACAATTCCATTCAAGGCATCTCCAGAGCTGCCTTGTAATCTCATGTAGCAGAAGAGAGAGAAAGGGGTATTACTAACCACCTTCTGAGAAATAAGTTGAGAGCCACCAAACGGCATATTTGGCTAACCGTAAAACACTAACTAACAGCTCTCCCTTGAGGAGCCCACATTCATACCTGGATATGTCTTAATTTTTTAATTTTTTTATTACTTGGTTTTTTAAAATGGGGTTTCTCTGTATAGCCTTGACTGTTCTGGAACTCACTCTGTATACCACCAGGCTGGCCTTGAACTCACAGAGATCCATTTGCCTCTGCCTCCCAAGTACTGGGATTAAAGACGTGCACCACCAATGCCCAGCCCATCTGGCCATGTCTTAATTTTTGCTATTCTCTTGTGGGAAGCCAATATCCATACTTAGGCATGTCTTACTTACTTCCCGAGTGCCTCTCTCTCTCCTAACCCTTATGCTTAGAGCCTCTATTAAAATGACCGGGCAGGTGAAATCCACAGAAACAGCTGACCTAAACAAGGGGGAGCTCATGAACCCCAGACTGATGGCTGAGAGGCCAGCATGGGACAGATCCAGACTCCCTGAACATGGGTGTCAGTAATAAGGCCTCGGCAATCTCTGGGGACTCAGGTACTAGATCAGTATTTATCCCTAGCATCCAAATGGACTTTAGGAGCCCATTCCACATGGAGGGATGCTCTCTCAGCCTGATATGATGATATGACAGACTTTGGAGATCCCCCATGAAGGGCCTCATCCTCCCTGGGGAGCGGGGTGGGGATTGGGTGGGCAAATTGGGGGGGCGTGGAGGAGGGGAGGGAGAGGGAGCTGGGATTAACATGTGAAGCAAGCTTGTTTCTAATTTAAATTTTAAAAAAGAGGAAAAATATTCATTAAAATCAACAACTCTACGTCATATGTCCAGTCCTACAGTTCTTCTCTGCCAAAGCCATGAAGCCTGGTTTGCCTGAGTTGAGGTCTCTAAAAGATTAAAGGACCTGCTCAGGCTGCTAAGGGTGAGACTAAGGAGCCGTGTGTCTGTCCTTCCTCTGCTGACAATAGATCAAATGGAATGTCTTTTTTGTTCTTTTAAAACCAAAGGACAAACGTGTTAGAACCTTGCCAGGTGGCAAGCCTCTCTCCTTTCATGCTCAATCTTGCTAAAGAAACATTGACCCAGACATCGCAAGTGTATGGGAGGCAAAGTCCTGCTTTTTCTGAGACTGTGAAATAGCTAAGGCCAGTGTAGCTAACACAGTGGTTATCACCTTCCTCATGCTGTGACCCTTTAATATAGTTCTTCGTGCTGTGGTGACCCCAAGCATAAATTTTTTTTTGCTACTTCATAACTGTAATTTTGCCACTGTTAGAATCATAATGTAAATATCTGTGTTTTCTGCTAGTCTTAGGTGATCCCTGTGAAAGGGTTGTTCAACAACCTCCCCCTCCAAAGGGGTCGTGATCCACAGCTGAGAATGGCTGGTCTAATTGTTTAAGTCTTGGCTAGCACAGATAAAAGACAGGCATAGTTTAAGAGTCTACGATGAAAGAAGCCTGGATCTATTTGATTAGATCCTCACACAAGGATGATGGTCTTCCCATCTTCTTTCTCAACTCTGGCAAAATCAGAAAGAGCAAGAACAGAGGTTCACAGACAGAAGAAGCCCCTTTTAGACAGTCCCCACCGTAAAGGATGTGTTTACAGATCTGCCGACAAAGAGGGAGAAAACTTTTTCAAACCTTCTAAGTTTCCCTGGCTGGTGCTCATAATCCAAGCTCAGCAAGTACACGTGATCACGGATGATGGAAAAACACAATCTGTGAACAGAAACAGTTTTAAACATCCATGGGCACGCATTTTCAATCCCAGCGCTAGGGAAGGTGAAGCCAGAAGATGTCCAGTTCTGGGCCAGCCCGGGTTACAAGGCAAGGCCCCTATCTCACACAATCAAGCTGGACGTGGTAGCTCACAGCTGTAATCTCTGCACTCGGTAGGCAGAGGTGGGAACACTGTAGATGTGAAGCCAACCTGGGCTATACGGCAAGTTTTAGACCAGGCTATGAAACCCAACGTCAAAACACAAGCAAGCAAAAATCTGCTGCCTTTATACTGTGATCTAAAAAGCAGATTTTATTTCTCTAGGAATGCAACCCTGGTGGCAGAAGCGTTTTATGTTTATGACTGTCATTTTAATTTAAGGACCGTCGGGCAAAGCAGTCTGCAAGGCAGTGGGTCTTTAGCATGAGTTAGAAGCGAGGAGGAGAACAGAGCACCAGGAGGGGCATGAGGCAGGGCCACACTCATCTCTCAGACACCAGGGTGTTGAGGCAGCACATTGCCAGGCTGGCTGGAGGGCCCCAGGGACACGACTTTCTTTCTTTCAAGGTTAGGGTGAAGATCTATGACATTCATAGAAAAGGATTGGAACTTCCCCAATTAAGGGCTGAGAAAGAAATAGTCTTTATCCATCAAAGGTCAATACAATGCTTTGGGGATTACAGAATGCCCAGTGCGGAAAAAGACAGGTAGAAGATGTCTTACGTCAGCTAGCCTCTGAGGAATGCTCGAGTTGTTTTTCCAAAGGTGGCCTGTTGCAGCAGCTTGACACCCCCTTGCTGCCTTTACGTTTTAGCTCTTCAGACTGGGAAAACAGTGTCATAGTAGAAATTGTGACTGATATCAGGACATCATACTTACCTTGGCTGATATTTTCCAAAAGACTCTGAGTGTGGGGAGTGGTCGGGGTTCTAGCAAATGAGTCACATGTAGCCAATGGACACTCCTTGAGCACACCCTGAGACACCTCAGCTTTTAAATACAGAGTACATTTTGACACCTGGGCAAACTGGGCCATGAAGTTTGCGTCACTCTGCAAACTGTTTATGAACGGACTACCTTGTCTCTCCATACACGAAGTCCATTGTCGCTTTTTGCTCTGAACCTAATACACCCGAAAGTAATTGCATATGTGACTGCAGCAGGCACCAGAAATTGGCTTTGTGTTGTTAAGTAACCGATGCCTGTGTTTACATAGACTCAGCCTGGAGCATGCTCAACACATCTTTAGATATTTTGTTCCATGCTTGGAAAACAGGGTGACTCTCATATTGCAATGGAAGCTACATCTTTCCTCTTGGATTTCCAATAGGAAGTATCCTCCTTTCCTGGAAAATCAGTAAAAACACTTAAAATGCTCCAGAGTCAGCATTTGAGTGTGAGCAGGGCTGTTTTTCTAAAGGACCTTTCCAAAAAGCAGATGAGATATCTCTATAAAGCTGATGCTAATCTTGGTTAGCGACTTAATGCACCTAGGAAGAGGAAGCCTCAATGGATGATGTGGGAAACTCAATCCATCAGACTGGCCTGTGGGCATGTCTGAGGCAGACGCACGTTCCTGATTAATAACCAACGTGGGAGGCCCAGCTCACTGTGCGCACTACCGTCCCTAGGCAGGTGGTTCTGGGCTGTGTAAGAAAGGCAGCTGAATGTGAACTTGAGAGCAGAGCAAGCCAGTAAGCAGTGTGTCCCCAAGGTTTCTGCTTCAAGTTCGTGCCATTCTGGAGTTCTGCCCTGTCTGAGTTCTTCTATCCCCGATTTCCCTTAATGACAAACTTTAAGCTGTAGGACAAAACACACACACCCCTTTTTCCCCCCTCCAAATTGGTTTTAGTCAAAGCATTTATCACAGCAACAGAAGCAAACTGGGAGAAAGGGCATGTTTTCGTGAGACTATGAACATTCCTTCTGCACCTAAGCTCTTTCTCCAATTCTTTTTGGAGATTCACTGTCCTCTCTCACATCCATTCCTCAGAGGCCAGAAACACTGAGTGCATGGTTTCTGCTGGGGGAAGGAATCTGAGTGCTCCTGCAGGTGCAGCTAACATTCCAAGTTCCTAAACATTTCTGACCATTGAACATAACACTTTTTGCCGAGTCAAGGGAAGTCAGACAGACCATTTCAGTGCTGCAGGAAAGGTAAGCAGAGAGCATGGTTTGCTGTAGCACCACATGCCCTTTCCTGAATGCCTCTCCATATGGGAACATCTCATCCTTGGTGTTTCGAAGAACCCATCTTGGAATAAACCTAAAAGAGGCATTGAGGTGTAGATTAGCTGCAGAGGATTTACCTAGCATGTAGGAGGACCTGGATTCTGTTCCCACCCCCACCAAATAAATGACTAAACGAGATAGAGAGATAGAGAGAGAGAGAGAGAGAGAGAGAGAGAGAGAGAGAGTTTCCCCAGTTTCCCCAGGCTCTGCTGACCAGGGGAGAGGACAGGAAGCAAACACCTGTAGTGGGTGGGGTTTGTGACATTTGTGTAGTGTGGTAGTTGGAGAGAACCACACACAACTGCTTGTACATGGTGTTATCGAAGTTTCTGGAAGAACTGGTTGGGGTGAGGAAGAGAATCATCATGGCAGCCCGTGCTTGACGGTCCTCGCTACCAGTTCTCCAGTTGAATGAGTGCCTCATGATTCCAGCCATGGGCCCTGCCCATGACCTACTTTCTGGGGCCTTGTTTATTCGTCCTCCCTGGGCTCTCACCCAGGAGTGACACAAAAAGAGAACAAGGAATACAGTTCAAGGGGCCCCAGGGCACCTGAGATTCCCCAGATGGGGATCAGAGCGTAAGTCAAGTCTGTTCCCTCCTTCCTTCATCCAAAGTAAAGAATCCGGGTACATCCCCAGGCACTGGGGAAGGTGTGTCTTTTTCTCCAACCTAAAGAGAGAAGTGTCCAATTCATGGAAACCATCAATATCAAATTCTGCTTTTCATAATATAAATTACTTTTCAGCATCCCAAGTCGAGTCATTGTGGTTCTCGGTGCTGAGAATCCAAGTATCTCAGCATTCCCATGGACCAATTAAAAGGCTGAATGGTGCACCTGCCCAATTTTTGCTTCTCCGTTATGACTCAAAAGTCACTCATTTTCTACTTTGGATGTGCGAAGCTCAATCCACTCACACCTCTCCTGATAAAAATAGTGTGCTGTCATGACAATGATCGGTGTTTTATTCCTTTAAACTAATTTTGATTTTAAAAGTATTTCAGGTGCCTTAGAACCACCTACTCAACATGTCTCCACTGTGGCCGCTTCTGGGCCTTCTGGCCTTGACGGGTGAGTGTGTTTCATTTTTCCCAAATAACTTGGCAGTGGATAGGAAAAAAGCATGGGAAGGTAAAGCTACATCTCCCATTTGAATAACCAAAGTGAAAGCATTATTTTTTTTCTCCGAAGATGTCTGATAAATCCTGGAGTTAGGAATAACCACCGATAAGCCTGTCCCAAGAGTCCCATAAAAGGATGAGGATTCCCAATAATTCATGTACACTTGCAACAACATTGCTTTAGCATCAGGCTTTAGGTCGGGTGGTGGTAGGGCATACCTTTAATCCCAGCACTCAGGAGGCAGAGGCAGGTAGATCTCTGTGGGTTCAAGGCCAGCCTGGTCTACAGAGTGAGTGCCAGGACAGGCTGAAAAGCTACCAAGAAACTCTGTCTCAAGCAAACAAACAAACAAAACCAGGCATTAGATATTTACCTTTGTAACTGCCCGTTGCCGCTATAAAACCTCTTAAACCATGTTAGTTACTTTACTCATTGCTGGGACAAAATACCCAACAAAAGCGACTTGAGGAAGGAAGGGCTAAATTTGGATCACAGTTTGAGAATATAGTCAATCATGGTGTGAGTCATGGCAGTGGGGACTTGAGGTGACTGGTCACATAACATCTATCATCATGGAGTGGAGGGTGATGAATGCTGGTGTTCAGCTCATCTTCTCCTTTGCATTCAGTCCAGGACAGCATTCTATGATATGGCACCACCCACATTTAGGATAGGTCTTCCCAGATCACTTAATCTGAATAATCCCTCATATGCATGGAGGATTTGCTTCCATGTCAACTATGAATCTTCGTCAGCCTGGCACTAAAGATCAGTCCATCAGCCAACACCACAACACTGAGTTTGTTTAGAGACTATGTATTTCCAAAGAGAGATTTGGGTGGTTGCCGTATGACTAACATAACTCAAGCAGAAAAGCAGCACTGAGAGAATCCAGATGTGACGGAACTGATGGGCACATAGTCACGGTCTTTAATTTCAACTTTGGTTCTAACGTCGGTTTCAGCTAGGGCAAAAAGCAAAAGTATTTGTTTTTTATTTGAAACGTTTATTTATTTACTATTTACTACATATGCGCTAATTCATTCAACCAATATTGAAAGCTCCTACAAAGTGCAAAGCATTGAGAATATAAGGATCTGTGAGGATAGCATAGTGTGGTTAGGGAAAGGTCAGTGAGGGAGAGAGCAATGACACCATCAACTGTCACATTAAGGGCTTATGTCAGCAATCATGAAGACAGAAATACACTAGCTAAGACATTAAACAGGATACTTGATTTTTTTACTATGAATATATACACAAATCACCAGATCCTTTCATAAATAACGTTTTTCTCAGATTAACTCATCCACGTCTATGAAGTAGAAGCATCTACTTCAAAACACTAGTATTGCAGATGTCAGCTCCATGAAGCTGTTATAAAAACACAACCTGGTGACTGAGAGATGTTTCAGCAGTTAAAAGCACTTATGGCTCTTGCAGAGTACCTGGGTTTAGCTCCTGGCACACACCTGGTAGTTCACAAACACCTATAATTGCAGTTCCAGAGGATCCAATGCCCTCTTCTGACCTCCTCAGGCTCCTGCTTGCCTGTGGTACACACAAACTCATGTACACACATACATGTACAAAGCATATAATCTTAAAATGCATTTATGGAAACATGTAGGGATCATATGATGACATGTCAGACATCGAATTCCCAAGAGCTGACAATCATTGAGTGAATGAAATCATTTACCTTAGTCAAAGAATGAAATCTACTCTGAAAGGACAGTCTCGAGGCTAGGGAAATGAGGCCACTGGTAAAGCACTTGCCAGGCAAGTATGGGGGTCTGAGTTTGATCCTCATGGCATAGCGGCTTGGATGACCCTGGGAGGCCCAGACAGGAGGGATCCTGGACTTGACTGGTCATTGCACACTTGTAATCGCACTACTTGGGAGGTTGGGACAGGAAAATAGGAGTTCAAGATAATTCTTGCCTACACAGTGGCCAATCCTGGCTGCATGAATCTTCTTTCAAAAAACATTAGTCAAGCAATGCCTCCCTTTCCATGATGACCAGACTAACACAGATCTCTTGGGAGATAAGACAGAAAAGAAAGATGCAGAAAGAGGGAACCTTGTATAGATACCTGATCCTATGACTGGTCTGCACACACTGTCTTTGTAATCTTTGCCCCCTACCCAGAATGCTCTGGGAGAAGCTGAAGTCAACCCCTGTCCCTGTTTAAACTTTTACTTGAGGTCTGGATGAAGATGCCAAGGAGACTCTGGCTTTAAAATGCATGTTTTAATACATGCAAACGTGAATACCTCACCAGACCAGTGAACTATGAGACACCCTTGAGCTTCTTAGTGAAGGAACTGCTCCAACAGTTCCTTGTGTCTGCAGGAAAGGAGGTGAGGAATTTCAAATCAAAGTAGTGTTGTGATACCACTACTTAAATTTCCAAGGAGGTAGAAATGTAGAGTGGTGCTCCAGCTTTCGCTGATTTTATTGTAGTTGTTTTTATTGATGTAATTCATTCACAGCCTTCTCGCTCAGAACCTCAGCCTAAACTTTCCTCAATCTGCAGTTTCCTCTGAAAGCAGCAATTGGGGATGCTATGGAAACATCCGTACCCTGAACACCCCAGGAGCATCTTGCGTGATTGGAAGACGCCATGGCCTGCCTTACTGTGGTAGTTAATAATCTCTGTGTCTACTCTCTCCCCCTAACATGTCCTCTTGACTCCTACCGTTTCTCACGGTTCAGGGAGTGGAAGAAAAGAGCACTCAACATGGAGTCCAAAGCCCTTGTGAGGGCCCAGGCTCTGCTTCCTAAACAAATCACATAATTTTTCAAGTTTTGTAAACTTCAATTCTCGGGGTGAGATTGCTCCCCGGACTGTGGAAGAGACTAGAACTGAGGCTATCTCATGTAATGGCATCATTTTCTTTTTAATAGTTTAAACTTATATGATTTCTTGGCATCACATAGGAGTAGAAAGTTGTATAGTTGTGAGGGGGACTTGTCAGAACTTATTCAAGGGTTAAGGACTTTCTCCTTCACACAGTGACCTGTTGCAGAGGCATGATGCAGTTTATTGAGAAACCTTCTCTGGAGTTCTTAGGATTGGACCACTGGTGCTTGTGCCTACAGAATTGTCTCGGAAGGGAGAGGTTTAGCTCATAGCCGCTGGTGACCACAGAGATCTCTAGCATCAGGAGATGCAGGCATGGAATGATGACTTTGTTTCACAGAAAAGGTCTTAATATGAGGTCAGGAAATGGCTACTAGGGGTTTAAATTTGTAATTTTCAGGCACAGACCTAAGGCTAAGGCTAATTCAGCCTCAGCCACATACTTCTTTCTGTGTTTGCTCTAGGAGTCCGTGCCTCTGAAAGGCTGGCTGAAATAGACAGGCCATATCTTCTGAGATATCAACCCACGATGAGAATTGTTGGCCGGAAATACTGTATGGATCCTGCAGTGATCGCTGGTGTCTTGTCAAGGGAGTCTCAGGGTGGCAATTTTGTGGTCGACATGGACAATGTGGGCAATGGAATTGGGGTGATACAGGTAATGTCCCATCAGTCAAGGTGACTGGATGCTGAGGAAATGGCTCAGCTGGCAAAGTGATTCCTGGAAAAGCTTGAAGACCTAAGTTCAGAACTTCAACACCCATTCAGAAAGCCAGCCACGGTGGTGTGTGCCTGAAATCTCGATGCTGTGTTCTCAAGGTGGAGGCAGGTGGATTTCCTGGAGCTCACTAGCAGGGTAGACGAATCAGTGAGCTCCACGTTCAGTAAGACATTGAAGAGGATACTCAGTGTTGATCTCTGGCCTCCACAGGCTTACACACACACACACACACACACACACACACACACACACACACACACACACACACACACACGCATCTCCCTACATGCATGCCATCTGAACACACACAGGAGAGACAGAGACAGAGACAGAGATGACAGAGACAGAGATAGAGGCGACAGAGACAGAGACAGAGGCGACAGAGACAGAGGCAGAGAATGTGACCCTTCTGCTTTACAGCACAACTCTATGGGAACGTGAGTGTGGTTTCACTGCAGACGGTACCGTGGCACAGAACAGAGTGAATGAATGGTGCTGCATGGGGTCTGTGAGAACTGAGTAATTCTGGTACCATTTCCGCTGCACTTGGAGCCACATTTTCTCTTCAGAGTGAACATGGCTTTATTTCTAGGACACCCTACCCTGGATACCCTACTGTGGGTTCCCAGTGAGGTACCAGCTCATGAGAAGGGCCACAGATTATATCTTTGCTCTGTAGTCTTTGTGTGTGACCTTGAATGGGTCATTTTACTTCATTGGGCCTGTCACCCCACCTATAAAATTCCATTTTGTTCTTGGCAGTGCTAGGGAGTTCAACTTTGTGCTTTCTAAGTGATTGTTCTACCACTGATCTCCACTCCAGCCCCTAAATGCCAGTCCATCTGAATTATAAAGAGTCAATGATGGTGCACACCCTTAATCCCAGTACTGGGTGGGGGGGCAGAGGCAGACAGATCTCTGTGAGTTAGAGGCCAGCCTGGTCTACTAAGCTACACAGAGAAACCCTGTCTCCGGGGGAAAAAAAAAAGTTCATAGGATACCTATGTCTGGTTGGTTCTCAACAATATTAAATTCCCCTCTCCTTATATTCTCTCTATATAACTCTTAGTTCTGAGGGTTGAGTTTTATTCTTGCACTGATTCACCCAATATCACTCATCAGAGTTTTGGGGTGCTGAGCCACTGTTGGAGCCTAAAGTGAAAACGAGGATCGAGTTTCCTGTTGCCTCTCAGACTATTATTGAAAAATCTGTGTGCAGTGTGTCGTTTTCAATGTTTTAGGAAAATTTACTACTTAATTATCTTTGAGTTGGCTTCTCTTGACTAGTTGTAATAAGCTTCAATTAAAGAGTATCTTCTGGCCCGGCATTGGTGGTGCGCACCTTTAATCACAGCACTCAGGGGCAGAGATAGCTGGATCTCTGTGAGTTTGAGGCCATTGTGGTCTACAGAGTGAGTTCTAGGACAGCCAGGGCTACACAGAGAAACCCTGTCTTGAAAAACCAAGAAAAAATAAAAAAAGTATCCCCTGATACCTTATCTCATTTTGATTTGTGGATACATTCAATAATCTGATGAGATGGGGCAGTGAGTCACCAATAAGGAAACAGGACTCACAGAGGAGTCACTGTTGTCAAGTTACACTGGCAAAGAGAGACCTTGACCCAATGACGCCTTAGGAATGGTGCCATCCACTTCCCCGATTTTGCTTGTCTTTCCCTTTTGTAAAATCTACCCCTTGGGGGAAGGATCAGTCTGTCTCCTTTAAGATGAAATTAAAAATCCCCTAAATTTAGTCATTTCTCTTCAATCTGATGATACATCTATGAAAATGGTGACTTACGGCATCCAAGAAGGGTCAGAATCATCTTCAGACATTATTAGTCGTCTGCAGGGAGGCCTAAAGCACAGGCAGGACCTCTTCCTGCTTCATTTGGAATTAGAGTTGCTGCATGGAGGAAGGGCATCACACTGGATTCTAAATGCATTAACCCATCTTCTGCCTTGACCTCTCTCTGCTACTCTGGGGCAACAAGAAATGACTGCTTACACCTCCTTAGCCTAAACTCTGTAGTTAATTCCTCCCCCCCCCTTATTTTTGATAGGAATGTGTAAAATGAGATCTAGCCTCTTAACCAGTTTAATTTAAAACACAATTCTGGGCCACACAATATTGTTAATTACAGACACAATATTGTACACCAGATTTTTCTAGAAAATCTTTACTGTAAAACTGAAGGTCTAAGCCGGGCGTTGGTGGCGCATGCCTTTAATCCCAGCACTTGGGAGGCAGAGGCCAGCCTGGTCTACAAAGTGAGTACCAGGACAGCCTCCAAAGCCACAGAGAAACCCTGTCTTGAAAAACCAAAAAAAACAAAAAACAAAAAACAAAAACTGAAGGTCTAACACCTGAACCTGCAACTGCACAGCTTCCCACCCGCCACCACCGCCACCACCGCCACCACCGCCACCGGCCACTGTTGGACACCCTATTCAGTTCTTTACATCTATAAATCTGACTTTTCATGTCCCTCATGCAAGTGGAATCATGCAGGGTGTGTGTGTATGTGTGCTGTGTGACTGGCTTACTTATTTTACTTAGTATAACACCTTCACATTTCATCTAAATTATCTGTACTTCACAATATAATTGTCTTCCTTTTGAGGCTAAATATTATATGGTGTGTATATATCTCATTTTCTCTATTCCTCTGTCAAGGACACTTAGGTCATGTTTATCTCTTGGCTATTTATTGTGAGCAGTGCCGAGATAAACAGGAGAATGTGTTTATCTCTGTCTCTATAGACCAAGCTGGCCTCGAACTCACATAGATCCGCCCGCCTCTGCCTCCTGAGTGCTGGGATTAAAGGTGTGAGCCACCACCATAGGCTGAGATCCAGATCTCAGTTTGTTTGGATAAACACTCTGAACACTGAACTGGGACTGCTAGATTGTATGGCACTTCTATTTTTAATTTTTGAAAGGACAGACCTCTATATGACCTCTGACTTGACCTCTCTCTTTACACTGAGGCAGCAGAGAAATGACTGCTTGCCCCTCCTTAGTCTAAATGATGTAGGTTATTCCCCCATGCCCCCCCTTTATTTTAGTCCATGGTGGTGACACCATTTTGCATTCCCATCAACAGTGCACAGGATTCCAATTTTTCCATGTCCTTGATGACATTTGCCTTAAGTGTTTTGGACAGTAATTCTTATAAATGTAGGTAGCTTCTTCACTTAATCACTGGGGAGATGGGAAGCAGAAAGAGAACAGAAGGGAGATGACTTCAGCCGAGGATGCTCACCAGGCTTCTCCTCTGCCTCCCTCCCTCCAGGACCCAAACTTTTACCCTCCCACATCCTGGAAGAGTGATTCCTGGGTTTCCCAGAAAACTGAGATTCTGACATCTAAAATCAAAGAAATACAGACTAGGTTTCCAACCTGGACCCCCGACCAGTACCTGAGAGGTATGTGTTCCATTATTGGTCAGTAGTTTCACAGCCTGGAATTAAGAGATACAAGTACATCTCTTAATAAAAACCAGATTCTCCAGGCCACTGCTGCCTACTGAGGGCAGCCAGGAAAGGGAATCTGAGCTTTCTATTGAGTGTCCTCAAGCTGGGTAAGGATTAACCTGTCACATGAATTTCAGGTGGTCTCTGTGCCTACAGTATGGGTCCTAGCTTTGTCCGAAGCAACCAGGATCTGAACTGTGACTTCTGCAATGACGTCCTTGCACGAGCCAAATACTTCAAGAACCACGGCTTCTAGCACCTCAGATGAAACTCAAGTTCATTATCGCACAGGAGGCTCACCTATTCCTCTGATTTGGCTAGCGGGTGGAGACTGCAACCTCGAATCTGAGTTGGATCTGAAAGCTGTCAAAATATCATGAATTATATTAAAGGAAAAGTCACTATCTCCACTATATATAGACTTTATCTCTTTTTTTTTTTTCCAAGACAGAGTTTCTCTGTGGCTTTGGAGGCTGTCCTGGAACTAGCTCTTGTAAACCAAGCTGGTCTCGAACTCACAGAGATCCACCTGCCTCTGCCTCCCGGGTGCTGGGATTAAAGGCATGGGCCACTACCGCCCAGTTAACTATATTTTGTTAAAACACTTCTTCTCCAAGCCGGGCGTTGGTGGCGCACGCCTTTAATCCTAGCACTCGGGAGGCAGAGGCAGGCGGATCTCTGTGAGTTCGAGGCCAGCCTGGTCTACAGAGTGAGTTCCAGGACAGTCTCCAAAGCCACAGAGAAACCCTGTCTCGAAAAACCAAAAAAAAAAAAAAAAAACCAAAAAAAAAAAAACCAAAAAAAACCCACTTCTCCAGATGTTATCTCTAATATCGATTTCTGTGAGATGAGTCCTATGCCTCAAGGTATCCAATTGCCAAGTCCAGCAAATAAGATCTCAGGAAACCCAGGTTACATCACACTTAAGTATTGAGTTTGGGCAGCGTTGGGAATTGAACCCAGAACACTTGCTCTACCACCAAGCTCTCTCTACTTCAGTCTCAATGATAAATAATATTTTTTTAAACATGTTTTGTGGTTTTTCAAGACAGGTTTTCCCTTGGCCATCCTGGAACTCATTCTATAGACCAGGCTGACCTTGAACTCACAGACCTGTCTGCCTCTGCCTCCTAAGTGCAGTAATTAAAGGCATGTGCCGCCACCACCCAGCAAGATTTTTATTTATTTTTACTTAATGTGTGTGGCTGTTTTGTCAGTGAACCACATGCATGCAATGCCTGTGGAGGCCAGAAAATGGCATCGAATCCTGTGGAACTGAAGTTACAGGTGGTTGTGAGCCACCTTGTGGGTGCTGGAAACTGAACCTGGTTCTTCTGGAAGAGCATCAAGTGCTCTTAACCGCTGAGCCAACATCCTATCCCCAACACATAATATTTCTAGTATATGGAATTTGGAACAAAATTTACACTAGGGAATTATTTACTGTCTAAAATTCCAATTTAACTGGGCTTCTATTTTTTTTTGGCTGCTCTGCCATTTCCTTCCTAGATAAAAGTTTAACTGAAAATTTTCAATTTTTTTAGGGTGAGATGGTGGTGACTAAGATGAAACATGGACAGTTAGTTTGAAAAGGAAGCTAACACAATTCCCTGCAATGAGGTCTTAGATGTAGAAGGCCTTGAGGCCATGCTTGGGTCTTAAGGTGGAAAGGAGCATTTTGTTGTTGCAGTTTTGTATTTTTGTTTTTCTGAGACAGGGTTTCTCTGTATTGCTTTGGAGGCTGTCCTGGAACTAGCTCTTGTAGACCAGGCTGGCCTCGAACTCACAGAGATCCTCCTGCCTCTGCCTCCCGAGTGCTGGGATTAAAGGTATGCGCCACCACTGCCCAGCAATATTTTTAGAAATATATATAATATGTGGGAAATCTAAACACAGTGAGGCCTTGAAGGGAAGGAGAGGCTTGCCTTTAAAGCAATGGTTCTCAACCTGTGGGTCATAATCCCTTCAGGTCACATGCCACATATCTTATATATCAGATATTCACATTACAATTCATAACAGTAGCAAAATTACACTCGTGAAGTAGCAACAAAATAACTTTATGCCTGGAGGGGGGGATGTCACCACGACATGAGGAACTGTATTAAAGGGTCACAGCATTAGGAAGGCTGAGAACCAGTGCTTTAAATCCTGGAGGGGAGCTTCATTCAAAGGGAAGATAGGGAGAGTTGGCGGGGAGAAGCTGCCATGAGGGATGGCTTTGGGAGGCGAGAAGCGCCTCTCTAGGTTGCAGTCTTCGGAGAGTCTACCCCTGTACGTCCACTGGGCCTTTTATAGCCTTTTAGGGATGGCAAGAATTCCACTGCATTCAGTTTACTTCAGCGTAGTAACATGACGATGAGGAGCCAGCAACACCTGCCTCTTAACTCTGTCTCAGGAAAAGCTTCAAGGAGGCACAGCATGATTCGGGCTGTAGGATCTAGCCTGAAGGTGTAGACCTATGTTCTAACAGTGCCCAGTCATATAAACTGGGGAAAATGGTTTGGAAAAGTCACTTGCTAACAACTGTGCAGCAGCGTCTTGACTCCAAAGTCATCTCAGTATCCCATAAATGTTAGGTCTCAAACTCCAGACAAACGGCTAACTGAGGTACCTATTCAAAATATCAAAGGGTTAACATCAATGCGGGTACCTGTTACAGCGTCACCTTGGTTGGCATACTCCAACCCTCACCCTAAACCTCTCCGGCCCCTGAGCTTTGGCTGTATGCCCTCTTGTGTTGTGGTAGTTTGAAAGAAAATGGCCCCCAAAGGGAGGAGCACTATTAGGAGGTGTGGCCTTATTGGAGTAGGTGTGGTCTTGTTGGAGGAGGTGTGTCACTGGGGACGCCGGCTTTGAGATCTCATATATGCTGAAGCCATGCCCAGGGACACAGTCCACTTACTGTTGCCTGCAAGATCGAGAACTCTCAGCTGCTTCTCCAGCACCAAGTCTGCCTGCACACCACCATGTTCCACCATGATGATAATGGACTGAACCTCTGAAACTGCGATCCAGTACCTACTCCCACTTAAATGCTTTCCATTATAAGAGTCGCCATGATCATGGTGTCTCTTCACAGCAATAGAAAGCCTAACTAAGACAACGCTCTTAGTCTCCTCTTACTCCTGGACTCTCCTCCTCTCTTGCACCCTACCTCCCAAAGCCGCCTGATTCTTATCGGCCACATTCAGTCTGAACCTTCCAGATGCTGTGCTCTCCCTCATATCTACAATAAATCTCCTCCTCGACTGTATCTTGGACCATCATGTCCTCATTTTTTTTTTTTTTTACTCACTAAAATTCCCTCCTACTTTACTTGCTGAGCCACAAAATCTTCTAACAAAAAGAATCTGGCACTCAGCTGAACTCTCCCCTTGGGCTTGGTCCTCAGCTAGTGGCATTATTGAGGTGTGATTGGAGAATGAGAATACCAGCGTCATAATTTGTTTAATTTGTTGATAAACTCACAGTTGGATGGGCTTAGTGACTGGTGAAGGAAGTAGGTCACTGGAGGATATCTCTGAAGAATCTCCCTCCCTCTCCCCCTTTCTCTGCCTGTCTTTCTTTCATTTCCAAAAGCTTCCATCATTTCCTTCCATCATGTTTCGGCTTTGCCATAGGTCTAACAACAATGAAATCAGCCTTGTTTTGTGGGTCTCCTTTCTCCTCTGGGATCGCTGGCTGCTGGCCCACAAGGGAGGAGGGAACAGAAACAGGCAGCGGAGTTCAAACAAACAGCTGTGAGTACGATGGAAACAGCCTCCCCTAAGTCAGCTTCTGTGACACAGCTCAGTTTCTTTCCAGGGTAAGGGGAATATATCTTTTGGGAACAGGGGCTGGGGCATGACCTAATTTGCATTTGGCAGCCCAGTCCTATCACACAGCTGGAACACAACACCTAATCTAATTATTATATGAATGACTGATAGGGAGGGGATATGGGGGGGAGCATTTGCAGGGAACTGGGTCAAAGGTCATGTTTAAGGTAAGTCAGTCATCCAAGTTCAGGAACAGCTTCCTAATAAGATCAGGCATCCAGGCCTGGAGATACTATCCAAATAAGGTAAAGAAGGAATCCTGTTGCTAAAGGAGTCCTCCATACGAGGCCAAGCTCAGAGAGCTGTCTGGACATGGTGGACTGCAACCTTAAATGCAGGGTTCTCCAACAAACCTTAGCTCAAACTCTATGAAACTATGAGTCCAAGATAAAACTTTCCTCTAGTGTGGTATCAGGTATTTTATACCCGAGACAAGAACTAGCTCAGAGGCACCCCAGTCATCCACAGTTAGGCTATATGGGAGAGTCCCTCAAGGACACTGACTGTGTCCTATATCATTAAATTAGCAAACTCAAGTGTTTCAATTTGTAACAGCAATGGCTCCCATGTCACCACCATGTTCAGCACGCTTGGTCTGCCAATTCCTAAGTGTTAACTGATGCATGAATCACCAGGGCCTCTGTCCCCTCTGTTTAGCTGGAGCCAGCAGCCCAGGCAAGAGAAACAAGCCCAACCATATCCGCACGTAAAACGCAAACACAGGGGTTGCACATGGCGAGTATGAAGTGCTCTTTTTCTGTGTTAGCAGCCCCATGGTCTCTCTCATGATCTCTGGGGCCCCTATACCCTCCAACTCAGCCTTCCCTCCTTGTGTCCCCATTCTCTGTCTTTGCTCAAAGTCTTATGCCCAAAGCGCGAATCCTTCTCGTAGATTCCAACCAAGAACACAATAGAGAAGACTAAGTGAATGCCCCTTTCCCTTTGGAGATGTACATTGCACTGGTATTGTTGGGGTACCCCGAATTGAGGAGGGGTCTCCAAGCTGGATTCGTCGTCCCAAGAGTCAAGAGTCCACGTGCCAATTGATGCAACACGCAAGAGGCTTTAATTAGGCATCTGCAGATGGGCCTCTCGGTCAGCTTTTAGACGGATTGGCCCCAAGGTTCAGTTACAATCAGCTTTTAAAGACAAAAACCACAAGCCTTTGGGAGGGGTCCCTATCTTGTGACGGGGGGGGGGTACATGACTACTGACCAGGGGAAGTAGATGTCTTCCTGACCTACACGTTGTAAATTCCTCAAACCTTGGTATGAGTTAATCATCTCTCCCTAAGTAAATGGTGGTTATCATCTCCTTGTTTCCCACAAATCTTGTTTGCCCATCTCTGACGTCCTGGTCAGTTCGTCACAGGTGGTCAGCAGCCCAGAATTTGGCCTTTTGTGGGTTTACAGCCCTTCTGCAATTAAGGTTGCTAAACCATACATCCCATTCTGTGATTTGGCCAGTTCCTGGGATGTGGCCCTTTGTTTACTTTCTGAGTTCTCTAGTGGGGTGCCCTCCCTGTTTAAGCTTATATTTTATTTCTATAAATTCAAGGTCTTTCAGTATAAGGAAAATAGAATGTGAAACTC